CTGAAAGAACAACGGTTTCGTTATAATTCGGTTTTCGGTGTAATGAAAATTCGAACAAATGTTATTCTGGAATAAAAAATTTCCAGTTTGTGATAGGTTACCCGACGCCTTACTTTCTCAAACTCGTATCTTAAAGCACAAAGTTACTGAAATGCAAAAAATGGATCGTATATACAAATTTTACAGGCTGACTTCACATGTGCGCGAGGATGCGGCAGACGCGCACCCGCTCCGGCGCAGACGTACGGGGAGAAGGCGAAGGCAGTTCGCTGCTCGCCTGATCCCCTAGTGAGACCAGCGGGCTCTGGACAGGGACTCCGGAGCCTACATTGCACGGCCTCACTCGTCTGGGGGGCGGGTCGGAGGACAACCGACTCGTCCCTCCATTGGCGCGGGAGCCCTGGCGCAAGCTAGGGCGGCTGGGCGGCGTCGTGGTGAATGTGCACCGACCTCACGGCGCCGACTCAACCGGCGAGGGGAAAACCCGGGGGGATTTTATTGGGGTAGGCCCTCCAGTCTGGAGGGAGAGTCCCCACATAACCCCTGAGTCTCCCTGGGCTCAGGAGTATCCATAAAGATTTCCCCGCCAAAAAAAAAAGGCTGACTTTACATCACATTTCCTACATATTTACACACTGGTTTTTGCCTATTCTTTTGTAATACATCCAAATTAACACACTTGCTAAGAAATTAGAGGGTGCAGTGGCTGTGCTGCAACTGTTATGGACAGATGTATCGCTCCACCAGGCAAACAAAACAGGGGAAGAGGTCGACCTAGGCGCAACTACATAGGCCAAATAAAGGAATCAGATCTTTGCGATTTGAAACTCTGAGCAACTGTTATGGACAGGCGTGTAGCTATCATCAGGCGCACGATTTGATCGACCCGTCACTTGATATTATAAAAAAAAATCCTTGTGATTTTTTGTGTTAATATAAAAAATGCGTGTTTGAAATAATTTTTGGGGTGGTGGGCGTTGAAATTTGTTTATTCTTGCCTAAGGGGGCGGTGACCCAAAACGTTTGGGAACATACATTGACTTACAAATAAATGGACGACGGGTCTAATACAAAAACCACGAAAAAAATGTCCCAAGTCAACCTATTCGAAATTTAAATTGTTATGTCATCGCAGTATCGCGCTGTCCGTAGAACAAATGAAGACTAAAGCGGAGTGTCGCGCTCTGTATACGATTTTAGCGCCTTACAAGTGCGGACACTTTTTAGCGCGGACCCGACGTCCATATAATTGTAAGTCAATGGGAACATATGATTTAAAGCTTGCAAGTTCTCTTTTTGTTTATATTGTATTCTTAGATAATTCGTCTTAAACTTATTTTAACTTGTGTTCAGGATTTAAATTTTTATTAAATTGATATTCAATCATTTTTTGCGACATTACTCCACTAGTTACTTATAATTATTAATACAAAGATCGATGACTCAGAAAAAAATTCCTTCAATCCGGCCGGATTCCAACCGACGTCTTCTAGGATACCGTGCAAGACGCTATACCAACTAAGCCACGGAACGAACCAGCGGACCTCTCGAATTTTAGTATGTGCTTGTGGTTGTGTTCTTGATTCAGATTCAGATTCAGATTCATTTATTTCTCAAATATAACATTACAATATAAATTGCACTACATGTCAAAGTATAAGAAATTATATTGAGATCGTCAGACAAAAAGGAAAATTATAAGAAAAGCACACAATAATTAGAAAATTAACAATTCATTATATAATATTGTTGTTATTAAATTACATATCGAATATCATTCTCCATCGTCATAAGTTGATAATTATACAAGAGCATGTTAATGCGGTAAAAATTGTTGTATTTGGTTTTGGACTTTTTAGCCGTAGCGCCATCTATGAGAAATTCTTCAATTCGTCATTCGGCTAGAGATGTCGCTATTCACTGTATTTAAATTTTTATTGAATTGATATTCAATTACTTTTTGTGAAATTACTCTACTCCAGTTTGCTACAATTATTAATACAAAGATTGAACACCCCGAAAAAAATCCTACGATCCGGCCGGATTCGAACCGATGTCCTCTAGCATACCGTGTGTATATGTCTTCAGGATTTTATATGATCGGATAAAGTACATTCTATCTTATAACTGTAATTCATTAGCACATTCTGTAGACAATATCCTTAGATGTATCCTATGTATTTTGTAAGACTGTTATTTAATAGTAGATAACTAAACTTTTTGATCTGTTTTTCTCTGAACAGTGATTCGCCTTAATAATATTAACAATACAGTAAGTTCAGAATCTACATTACCAATTTGGATTGAACTCACAATGTAATAGGAAATGGTTCCGTAATAAATAACAAAGCCTATTTCATTACATAACTGTGATGCAATAGCGAGAGAATAATACGCTAATAATTATTGGCTATAGACACTTGATGTGGTAAAAATTGCCCTGTGGGCGTTATGTTCTTTACTTATTAGCTATTGTAAAAATACTGCATTGTGCTATTATCATACATAGTAACAGTAGACCTCCTTATGAAAGAGTCCGTCCAGGGTAGTACCTTACCTATTTTTACCGCTAAACAGTACTGTGAGCACGTCGAGTATATAACCAGAAATAGAGACGAAATGTCATTTAATTTGTTTGAAAACTATTCTGCTAAATCATTACTGTGACAACTGCGCTCCGATTGGCCAGCCCGAATTCGAAACAATTGACGGGTGTCACTTCAAATCGACAAGTCTAACTTGAGCTTTGCTAGAATGGCGAAAATTGCAAAATAACATGTTTACCGATGAAATGTAATTCCGTTTGTATTGTAATTAGATATTTTGCTGTTTTTCCTCACACCACTGAATGGAACAGCACATTGATAAAGATATTATCTTTATTACAATAAATACAGAATATTTTTGGAATTTACGGAGACGTACACACAGGTCAGTTGTTGGCGCTGTACTATTTCAGTTTTCTAATTTGTGATTTCAGCGCAAACGAGAGTTGATATTTAAAAGTGATATAAGGCCCATTTGCCTGAAGAGTTGTCAGGGATGGATGCCCCATATTTTGTCTCTATTTCTGGTTATATACTCGATGTGTGAGCATCACTGCGATTCGGTTTGGAAGGGTAAGGGTGCTTATGAAATTACAGGAACATAGGACTTGTCAAGTTATGTTTCAAGGTGACGGGCGCAGTGGCAGTGCCCCTCAGACCTTTGCGATTTAAAGCACTGTGGTTTTGATTATGGACAGATATGTCGCTCCACCAAGCGACTTGTTAGTCCCATTTCATAGTATCATAATAAAAAACATAATTTTCACCCACTGCTGGGTATAGTCCCATCATAGAATATATCCATATATATATCCACCCATCACGATCTTATGCTAATTGCATACATCTACAACCTGCGACTTTGACGACGTCGTTTACCCATCTCGCTGTAGGGTCTCACGTTCTCGTCACTAATTAAGTAAAGAAAGTGAAAAAAAAACCAAATGATATCTGTGTACCTACGAGAAATTCACTGTATGTTATGATCATTATCATGAACCCATTTACAAGTCCCACTGCAAGATATAGGTCTCATCGCATTCGAGGATTTAGGCCATAGTCTGCCACGCTGGCTCAATGCGGGTTACGTTTTCTGAGGGTTGTGAACCTTCTTCAACATGCAGGTTTCTTGACATTGTTTTCCTTTGCCGAAAAGCTCATGGTAAATTTCAAATTAAATTATGTAAGGTTTGATTGAAATGATGGTTTTGGTGGCAGTAGAGCCCTTATGAAAGAGTTCATCCAGGGAAATACTGCCACTTTACCTATTTCTGCCGCCAAGCAATACCAGTGCGGTTCTAATGAGCTTTTCGGTGAAAAAAGCTCATGGTTTTCGCACATAAATTCTGAGAACATTTGCTCTTCATTTTGAGACAAATGAAGAGCAAAGTCTGAGAGAGGCCACTAGGAATAAGAATTTAAAAAATGTGATTGAGTCTAAATTAAGGTGACGCATCCGAAGAACAGAGTCCGATGTGATTATATAGCGAAAAGAGAATAAGTACGTTACGAGAATATTTTCCTTATTCAACCTAAGGGCTACGTAAAGGTGTTTTGAGAATTTATATAGCTTATTTCGTTTCGGAAACATAAAATCGAACTACGGTCGATCTGAAATCCACAGCGAAGAAGAACGAACGAAATATACTATGTCCTGAGAACAAGTAGTCTTGCATATAGATCTTTGTTCTACGGATGAATCGAAATATTGTGACGCACAACGAAATTATTTAATAAATTACCTGTAGAATTTAAGATTATTACTGACATAAAACTATTTAAATAAAGACTGAGAGATTTATTGTTATGAAAATGCTGCTGCAGCTGTTACTCCGTAGACGAATTTTAAATTAGTTGCTCATTTTGTAAATTGTTATTTTTATTTTTTAACGAATTGTTTTAAATAGTTATTTTTGACTCATAATAATTTTATATACTTGTGTCCTGACATTTTGAGGTCTATCCACAGTCATATCCGGGCCGTGCGCGAGACGTGGACGGGCCCCGTGCTCCGTCAGGGGCTCAAAAAAATATCGTTGCGTATTTTTTGTATGAAATCATTCACACATGTCCGTGTCCGGGCCGGTGCCGGGACGGGCCCGCATTCATACGAACTAGCACGCCCCGTCCACGTCCCGGGCACGGCCCTGATGTGTGTACATAGTCCTTTATTTTAATTCATTTTTTTCTTATAATTCATTTGACTGTGTACTTTAATTAATTTGTATGATTAAATTTAAATCCATGACATTCAAACACAATAATGTATATTGTTAATGAATAAATGATGTTAATGATTGAAAAATTCAGAGGTACAAGCCCGGATTCGAACCCACGGACTCTGCTTGAGGAGGTCATACCATTAGGTTATCACTACTTTTACATGAATATCGTGGTTGTAAAAACTTCATAATAATCAATAAAAATAAAATATCTCCATTATGTTCTCCACAGCGCGTGCAACAAGGCGGCGCGACATTCGAATGGGGCTGGCAGCAGCAGCAGACCGCCCCTGACTCCTCCGTTGGACAATACTACGTTAGACTACCACAGGTAATTTACCTTTGTATTTAAGTCGAATTTTGCTCGATATATTTAGGAACAAGTCCGTGGGCCTTAAGACGAGATAATTGGAGACATTATACATTCGAAAGTATGTTTGCTATTATCACGTAGATAAAGTGAGTACTATAAAACACACTCTTTATGAACGTTACTTCGAAACAATGTGTATAAAAACGTACCGCAGGTATTTTTCTCGTCAATGTTAAGACTATGTTACGGTAAAGTTTAAACGGCCAGGTATTGTTGAAGTATTCTATTTGCAAAAAATGTGGGTTAATTAAAAAGTATTACTTATCGCCGGGTAAACCCGATTTAGACGGTAATTAAACACCAGTACGTACGTTAAAATTGTTTGCTGTATAAATTAATTATTTCAAATATCTACAATTGAATAGACTTCATTTTTATGAAAGAAAATATTGAAATTATAATTTATTGTTCAAAATTATTCATTAGGAAGAAAGAAAGGAAAGATGACAGGTGTAGGTATGAAAATGACGGCTGATAGGGGAGAGTGGAAGAAAAATACATGTTGGGCCGACCCCACCTAGCGTGGGATAAGGACAGGAAGAACAAAAAATTATAAATAGCTAAATAATTTAATACTGCACAAACCAATAACTTTCTTGGGCATAGTATAATTTAAAAAAATCTTGGAAAGTAATTTAAAATACACTTAGGTTTTCGCAATTGATACGCATTAGAGATGAATATTTTTTTGTATTTAAATTTCAGTTTAGTTTATTTTACTCGGAATAAAAAAGTCGCGTACATTTCGACTTATCCGAAGAACAGAGTCCGATGTGATTATATAGCGAAAAGAGTATAAGTACGTTACGATAATAATCACGTGATTAAACTAAGGCCTATGTAAAGCTGCTTTGAGAATTTATATATCTTATTTCGTTTCGGAAATATAAAATCGAATAACGGTCGATCTAACATCCACAGCGAAAAGGAACGAACGAAATGTACTATGTCCTGAGAACAAGTAGTTTTACACTTAGATCTTTGTTCTACGGATGAGACGATTTGTCTTTTTAAACAAACCATAATATCATGTTCGATATATATTCCATAGTCATTAACATACATTATCCAGTGTGACTCCTAGATTTTTCGAGTTTAATTTTCCTTTTTATTAAATTGTCCAAAATGTCCTATTTTTTATTGGAATTTCATCAGTTTTACAAAATAATGCATCATCTACAAATGGTGTGAATGTCGTAATAAAAAACCGCTAAATATATTTTCAAGTTTTCGCAAATGTTAAGCACAGGAAAGGAAGTCTTTTTCGGATCTGAATTACGTATTTTTTTTTTGTTTTCCAAACATATTTTATTAATGTAAAATTTAGATCCGAAACAATGGTTTCTTTTCCAAAACATGTTTAAGTTAATTAATATTATTTTATAACTTTATTTTTAAAGTTGATACGATAAACCGGACATTATTGTACTTATTTAGCTAGTACGTTTGACTAATAAACTTCCATGCAACCCGCTCTTAACAAAATTTGGTATTTTCTAGAGATGCCGCGAATAGTAGATTTGGTCGAATACCGAATACCGAATATTCGGCCACGCTCTCGGCCAAAGGGCCGAATATTCGGCTGCCGAGTGTTCGGCGTAAGATCTGTAGGGCTACCTACTGCGTATTTCACGCGCGACCTGTTACGACCTGTCTCATTGCGCTGCGTGCGCACGGTGGTGGAGTGTTGAAAAACGACAAAACGATAGAATCAGTACATGACAGTTACTAGGCTTGTTCTGAAGAAGTCGCTATAGATAATATGCAAAATGATGAGGATGTGGAGAAATATTCAAGGGCGCATTAGATTAATTTTTATTTGAAAATTGTTCGCCTAGATCGGACGACAGATCCATACACTTGTAAGTGGTCAGCAAACGCAAAGCCCCTGCTTTGCGTCAAAATTCGGCCTGACGAAATTCCAAGCCTGTCAAAATTTGCTAAGATTTATCTACCGTCTCTTGGCAGTAGTGCTTTTAGTGAGAGGCTATTCAAAAGCAGGAATTGTTTAAGAGGAAAAGCACAATCGTTTGTTACCAACCAATGCTGAAAAAATTGTTTTCATTCATCACAATCTACCACTGATTGATTTTAAATATTAAAGCAATAATTTGTGATTAAAAGACATGATTCATTTTGAATAATATGTGCTTTTTGCTTTACTTGATATACCGAATCTCTAGTATTTTCTCTAAATTATCCGAAATTGATTAATTTAGTGATTATGAATACAATGATCGACCACACAGAATTTTTTTTTCATCGACCCGGTGGGATTTGAACCCACGTCCATGCTGCACCGTAGCATTGCTCTAACCATCTGAGCCACGGGTCCAGTTACCGAGTCGTCGATTTTCTCCAACGTGTTTTTGTTATTGATCTTTGTAGGTACTGTCTTTCGGCATTCGTCGCCGCTAGTGATTAATTTAAAATTTTAGGCGATTTCAATATTCCCAATTTTCCCAACTTGCACTGTAACGCATAATCCACACCTGTTTAAAAAGACACGCTCGACAGTCCGCATCGCTTCCTTATGATACAAACCATTAAAAAACTTCATCAATAGCAAATAGGTACTAATTTTCAGCTTTCATCCTTCACACAAAGTAATAATATTGTAATAAGTGAACGTAATAAGATTTTCTCAAACAAGTGTTACTTTCCAAAGCGGAAAATGGCTATATCCGCATCCGCTTATGTTATAGAAGTGTAAAAAAAATGTTTTGTAATCAATTGCCAAGTGATAGTATCGTAACAACCCTAGCTAGTTACGCAAAAGAAAGATTTTAGTATCAATAGAATTCCTTGTAAAAGAGTTAGTCCAGGTCCTGCCGCCAAGCAGTAATGTCAGCATTACTGTATTCCGGTTTTGCAAGGTAAGAGTGCTGGTGAAATTACAGGCACATGGGACTTGTCAACTTATGTCTCAGGGTGACGGGCACAGTGGTAGTGCTAGTGATAGTGATAGAGTTGTAGTGATCTTTGCAATTTAAAGCTCTGAGTGGCACTGTAACTGTTATGGACAGGCGTGTAGCTAACCATCAGGCGTACGCTTGTCATGTTGTTGTTGTGTATCTTAAAAAAACCATTTTTAAATATCAAATGGGCTTGTTGTTCTAACAAATCCTACACTTGGTATATATGTAATATAATGAAGCCACGTATGGTCATGCATCAAAAGTGCTTTTATAGCATGAAAGTCATAACTAAAAAAACCGATTTCAAGACTAGTCATTCATCCCCTAGTTTGCCACCCTTAGAGGTGGAATATGTTCCTCAAATTTAATTGGGTAACCCTCTTTTCGACAAAAAGAGAATCATGAAAGTCGGTTCACAAAGTTATAAAAAAAATTGTTATATAAAAAAAATTATGACTAAAGTTGTTTGTTATCAAGACCATGTTTTGGTCTGAATTTTTTGTTACGCCATGCATAAGGAATTACCCGTGTTACGAAGAATATTACACTAGTGCACGCATGTGAAGTCATGTCCGCACGAAGCACTCACGCGTTAAGTTTCATGGAAACATTTAAATAGACTATTTGCGTACATAGTTGGTAATAAACACTGTCCTTCTTGTATGACTAACGAGTTTGCATTTCGGTTACTTTCAAGATATTTATTTTATTCATTTATTTATACTCAGATTACATAGTATCTATAGAAACATACCTTATAGACTAACATATATAATACTGCGACGTGGACGCAATTTGGGTGTCCGGTAACCGACATCGGAAACGATGATCCATGATACCTTTAGGCATTTATATGGTCTGTGCTTTCGACCAAAACTCCTCCTTTATGAAGGTTGACAAATGATGAGTTGGTACTCTCACCACAAATGGATTAAAATTCACATTATGCCAAGTCCCCAACCCTCGCAAATCGACCCTCACGACGACAAGCACGATATATGTATATTGGCCATCGAGTATATAACGAAATAGAGACGAGATAAGGGCCGTCCATCTCTGGCAGCTCATCAGGCAAATGGGCTTTATACCACTTTTAAATATCAACTCTCGTTTGCGTTGAAATCGCATATTAGAAAACTGAAACAGCACTTACAGCTGCAACAACTGACCCGTGTGTACGTTTCCGTATATTCAAAAATATCAACAAAAAAGAATCATCAAAATTGGTTCACAAATGGCGTAGTTATCGCGTAACATACATAAAAAAAGAAACATACAGACGAATTGAGAATCTCCTCCTTTTTTTCAAGTCGGTTAAAAATTGAAAATTTCAACATTTATTAAGAAATATTATTTACTCTTAGGAAGTATAGGAAACTGAACTATACATAGTTAATACATTTTCAGTCTGAGCAGCGTGTGCAGTACTCAGCGGACGGGAGCGGCCACCACGGCACTGTTGTTGCTGGCACTGGTAACCCTGAGATAGTTGGCACTGATAACCGTGCCAGTCAAGCTCCCGCCCTGTTTATTCCTCAGGTAACTACAACCAGTTTATCCACATTCCCAGGCTCACCTCTTTATCAATTAGACATCAGACCTCATAACGTCATAATTTGACAACAATTGAATGAAACTTATTTTTTTATAGATGAACCTAGAAAAAAATTACAGTTTATCATGTTTTGGGTCTCGCTTGGGTAATTTTCAGATTAGTTTTCTCTAGGAAATGAAACTATTTTTCCAGATTTAAAGCGCGTTTATTTGTTTTTTCAAACAAACTAACGTTTCGGGCCCTTTACAGGTCCCATGGTCACGGTTAATTGAGGTGGTAAAGTCATCAACATCAAAAGTTGTGTCTAATATTAATGCCAATCACCCTAATTTTCACTTTAGTTACAAAAGTTATTAATTAAATACCTTATTTTTATATTTTCAAATTTTCCGCTTATAGATTATTTTATTTTATTTTATTTTATAGAATAAAGATTACCACAAAAATTATGTAGAGAAAACTAACCTGAAAATTAGCCACGTCACCTTAAAAAGCCCGAGTTATATTTGTTATAAACTAGCAGGAAAGAGACAAACATGTGAGGATCGTAAAAAATGCCAACATCGTAACTTCCTTCATATGAATTTTATTTTGTTTACATTATGTCCTGTATTATAGTCACAACAATTGATATTAAATTTACATTTTTAGGAGCCGTTGCAAGTGTATCAGACTCCAAATATAACTCAACTACAGCTGCCACAAAACCAACAACAGCCAGTGGACATCTATTTACTGCACCAGCAATTCTCAAATCCTGCATATCTGAACGAACAGCTGATACAGCCATATTCACCATCTAACGTAGTGCAGTATGCCATACCAAATTATTACAACCCTTCGCCCACTCAAGTGGATTTCAACGTTCAAACAATACATCCTAATAATGCACAAGGTAATGACGTTCCACCGTTACACTACCACCAACGCAAGGAAGGCAGCTTCGAAATTCAGTATGACGATAGCTCCAAACCTCTTAAAAAAGAGGAAATTAAGGAGCAACACGACTTTACAAAATCTGTTGTGCAAGTATTTAAAAACCACAATTGCACTGATGACGTAAAGAATGATGAAACGATAAAGTTATTCGCTCAAGTTCCATCTAAACAAGGTAGAAATATAAATGGTAATTTTGGTGCGAGGTCTACACAAAGACCATTGACTTATAGAGGAGCAATCAATTTTAAGGTGGGACCCCCGAGAGAAAATGCTAGAAGCGAGAAATATTATTATACAACTGATTCCACACCAAAAAGTACAATAAGATCTACTACAGAAGATGCTAGATTCTCCAAACTTGTTCAATCAACTCAAGACCTTATTTCCAACGAAGATTTGTTAAAAATTAATCATGCTGCTGAAAAATTCGTGAATCCAAATGAGAATGACTTTATTAAACCAAGACCTAGGTTCCAATTAAGAGCTGAACAATCTAGACACTATAATGATGGTTATTTTAATCAGTATCTCGAACCAGCTGGTACACCAAGAAGCAGAATTACAGTAAAAGCTAAAATTGGTAAAATTGTCGACAGTGAAATTGAACATATCGAAAATAATAAATCAAAGGAACAAATTTTACAAGCGGGTGCCAATGAATTTAAATTTGCCTCTCCTATCATTGTACAAGACACACCGTATGACAATTATAAGGAACAAATCGTAAACAACTTAGTGTCTACAATGGTTCCATACATTGAAAACGGTTATGAAATTGTGGGGGTTAGAGATAGCGCTGAAGAAAACTTGACTAATAATAATCAAGAGAAAGAAGGCTCGAGTGAAAATTTTGTTAATGTAACACCAAGACCTTTAGGTCAGAAATATTTGGCTCCTATCACTGTAGCTCTGCGTTTACTGAATTCAAATGATACTGAAACATTTAATGCTATAGATGACCATGAAACTTCTGATAGCGAAATTTCTGAAGCTATTGACAAACCAAAACAGCATGAAAAAACAGTTGTTGAAGTTCAAGAATCTGTTCCTGTTTCTATAACTCATATAAATGATGTTGAAGTACATACACATTATTTGGAAGAAGGTAGAGCAAATAACAAAGGTCCTTTGGATTATGCAAAATCCTTATACAACAAATATATGGACGTCTTAGACTCTTCGAAAACTAGGTATTATTCTGATGAAAAGAATGCTGATAATTCTAAAGACCATGACACTAGTGAAAATATGCAGACTGAGGTAGAAGTAAGACCTAACAATTTAGACAACGACAGAAAAGAATATATAATGGACTACAATGACTATGAATCGAACAATCACAAAATTATTCAACCAATTATAATAGAGAAAGAAGTACCAGTGACTAAATTCGTTGATAGATTCATAGAGAAACAAATACCATACGCTGAACATGTACAAGTACCAGTAGACAGGCCTGTAGCTGTTCCTGTCCCTTTCGAAAAAATAGTTGAAAGACCAGTTGAAGTTACAAGATATGTTGATAAACCATATCCTGTTGAAGTACCTAGACCGTACCCCGTTGAAGTTAAAGTCCCCTACCCTGTAGAACAGAAAGTTTTTATTGATCGTCCAGTACATGTACCTTATCCTATAGAAAAACTTGTTGAGAAACAAATATTTCATCAAGTTCCAGTACCTACTCCAGTCGCTGTACCGTATGAAGTCCAAGTGCCAGTTGAACAACAAGTTCTGTACCCTGTGCCGATTGAAACACCAGTACCTGTACCTTACCAAGTAGAAAAACCCGTACCTGTTGAAAAAATTGTAACTAAACAAGTACCTGTACCTTACCCAGTTGAAAAGAAAGTCCCATATCCTGTTCATTACGAAACTAAAGTTCCAATACCTTACCCTGTAGAGAAACGAGTACCAATACCTGTTGACAGATATGTTGAAAGACCTGTAACGATAACTAAGTACATAGAAAAACCTGTACACATTCAAGTACCAGTGGCAGTTCCTGTACAAGTTCCGCAGCCTTATCCTGTTGACAGGATAGTTGAGAAAAAGGTGCCATATCCTGTACCAGTTGACCGAATTGTCGAAAAGAAAGTACCTGTACAAGTCCCAGTACCCGTTGAGAAAATAGTCGAAAAAATTATAGAAAAACCTGTTGTTGTGACAAAGTATGTCGACAAACCTTATCCTGTCGAAAAGCGTGTACCTTACCCCGTAGAAAAGATAGTAGAAAAAAAGGTACCATACCCTGTACAAGTCCCAGTGGAAGTTAAGGTACCATATCCAGTTGAAAAAATCATTGAAAATCCTTACGCTATATATAATTACGGTTACGGACATGGCTATGGACAAGGCCAAGGAAGCCAGAACCATCCACATTATCTGAAGTACGATCAACAAAGGCAAGCGTCTCACGTTCAGAATCAAATTCAAAAAGCGCACGAACAGCGGTTGCAAAATCAGTACGCACAGTACCTCAAGGAAAAGCAAAACGTACAAACTACACACTGGGGCCACTTGTACGCATCATCTTACCAACATATCAACAACGTAGACCCAAAACCAACTACAGGGTTCAGAAAAACACCAGTACTAACAAATTATATAAACTATGTGACAAACCAAAATCAAAATCAAAACCAGGAGCAATCATCAGCATATTACGGTCCTCCTCCGGTAGAAAAATACAATGATTCATGGGAAAAGAACAAAAATTATATTGTTGAGGTGAAATTAAGAAGGACTGACAGGCAGCCCAAAAATGGAAATCTGAGAATAGAATATGGTGGATTCAAACCACCCCTAATTCCAAGTACAGAAGTAGATTTAGATGGCATGCCGGTAAAAAAAGATGGCGACAGTTAAAAGAACATTGAACCCTTGAATAAAGGTATTAACGTCATCGATAAGAATATCTTCTTACGTATGTTTCGTGTATTTGCCGAGCCTAATAATGTGGAAAAGCGACCTGTTTAAGTAGTTCTTTCAAGTTGACCCAGCGCCATAAGTAAATAAATAGTATCGATAATTCAACCTAAACTGGTTATTGTATAATAAGGGTCTGAATACACGTACAACACGGAAAAGACAGATAACCAAGGACCTCCATCAGAAACTGAATAATACTTTGTAAATACTTAGGGTCGTATTCTAGAACTCTACTCAATGCTCAAGTCAGGATTGTAATTGAAACACAAGCACTGGAAATACGACCCTAATGGCAGGGACTTTAGTATGATTTCGAATGCTTTAAACCATACTTTTAGAGACTCTCCACACTAGCGTCTTTCGAGCGTCAGTGTCTTACCAACGTATGCAAAACGTCTCTTCATTTCGCGCAGTATTTAATCAATTATTATAATTGTTTGCCTATCTTCAAGTCATGTTATTAATTTATATTGTAGAGTTAGAAATAAGCCTTTAGTTCTATAAAGTCATTTAACTTATTGTAATTAAGGACAATTATGTCGATAACCTTATAAATGTGTCGATCGGTTGTTAATACTTTCCAATTGGAGTATTTTATGTAATAGGATATTGTTGATAAGAAATTGTAAATATAGATTGTTTATTAATACTTACAATAAAATAATAATTTGTGAAAATTGTTTGTTGTCTCTCCATAAAATGACTATGAACTGCCTTCGTGGTCTATGGCCTACATTTATTTATCTCGTGACTTTGGGTGTCATTTGTGGTAGTTTACGGGGCTGTGTGTGTGAGTGCGTCATTATAATTTATTAATGTAGTTAGTGAAAATCAAGCTTGATTATAAGAGAAACCCCTAATTCTAAAATGTGTCGATTAATCACGTTCCTCTTTACATACATACATACATTCTATTCATACTAGAATGAAATGAAGAGATACACTGACAATTTCTCCCGCTAGATGGCAAAGTATTGGCCGTTGGACTGTCAAACTCTATAACCCTTTATGCCCTTTAACATTCAAGTTAATGTGTAAAAAAAGGGTGATTAATTTATACAAAGGTTGTTTTTTTAACACTTGAAAAATTGCCATCACGCCGGTCAGGCCGCCGCCCGGCGTCATTCGAAAAGCCGTCACACGATAGTATGTTCCAAAGAGCATAAAAAAACATGTTTGGAGTTCAAAATAAAATTTATTTCATGTTCATCTCACAAAACGCCATACTTGACCTCACAGGTGGAACTACGCTAGATTACGTCGTAAAACAAACTTCGTATATATAAATACATAACTACAGTACAGAACCCACTCTCAATAATAAAGCGACGAAAAAACATGAAACAAAAGTAATATAAATCATATAGAATTTTGTCATATTTGGCATTTGGCCAAATGGTAACATGGCTGGTGCCACGCACCTTTTTTGTTTTGTAAATCTATTATGTCAATTTCCCAAATATTACTATTTAGACTTCATCACTTTATTGTTGAGAGTGCGATGTGTATGGAAAATTTTATGATGTATTTTGGGTAATCGTTGCGCCATACAAACACAGCATCCAATTTTATTTCACGTTAAATGTTTGTGGAATATAAATTAAGTATTTTTTAAATTTATAGAAGCGAGAAAACATTGCGTACCTAAAAATATGATTCGTTATATAATAAAAATTCGTTATCTTCATTTTATAATCGCATTGAAATTACATGACGCCAGTTTACATGGTGCAAATAAAATTTATAAGACGCAAGTAAAATTTACAAGGCGCAAGTAGAAATTATATGGCGCAACTATCCCTAAAATGTCAGATTTTGTGATTTCTTGTAAAAGTACTACACTTAAATATTGGTTTATATAGAAAAAGAACCGCGATCGCCGCACAGTTTTCACATACATAATTACATACAATACTATGTATAATTATCAATTACAATTATCGTATCACCTAATAAGTATGCAAAATCACACGATATAGAAAAGAAAGCGTCACACCAAACAAACAAAAAGTTATTCACGATAACGGCTGGAAATATAAAATACTTACAAGTAACTTTCATGCTGGAGACAAATATAAAACGGAAATACATAGCTGTATCACGCGCGCGCTATTTACCTCTACGTAACAAGTTAAAATACCTACAAGCGCTATATCTGAAGTGTTGTTTGTTACAACCACAGAACAATATATACCTACAGTAGTAGAAGTTTAGTGGGCGTGGTACGCATGCCAACGTACGCGGAATCCCATGTACTTGAGCTCTGTCCACCCTTTTTATCTTTGTAAACTATGGTCCTGTCAATTATCTCGTGCAAAACCTCGAAAATCGTGGAAAAATGCCTTAATTTCCTACTTAGGAGTGCAAAAACTATAGTCGCACTTGTAATATTACCCGTGGTGTTGTTCCATATCTTCTTCATCGTTGAGTCTTATTTTAATAATTTTTCCAATTTCTGTTTACCATAATAGTTTTTTTGTTATATGAAATGAACGTAAACTTCATACCGCTGCAATATAATCAACTTTTTTTTGGAGAACGGCATAATAGGCATTAATCGTTCGTCTTTCAGCTATTGCCGCTAGATGGCAACACATAGATTGAAATATCAACTATAAAATCAAAACGTCGTAACTTACAATAAAGGGACAAGGATTAAACTTTTAACGATATGCTAACTGGGTATTAACAGTCCAGAATTTGTTACATCTTTTTAAATTAGCAACTACGACCAATCATTGTCAAAACATGATGTTTCTGGTACTAATCGCGACTTAAGGCCCTTTTACTGTCTTTTTTCTTCCGTGGTTACAACCGAACAAATATCGTGAAATTCAGCCGCGTAAATTCCGTTTTTCACTCGTCTCCAGAGACTTTGAAGTGGTGGCGCTAGCATCAACTTTCAACGAGTAAAATAGTTGTATAAAACAACATACCGGGGGTAATAAACGAGCTTATCAGCCTTTATAAATAAATAGTTACAATTTGACACAATTTTATTAACACATAGAACATTATTGCTATATCTATACCATAATACTTTGATCACAAATTACAATTACGATCTAACAATGTTTTTATAGTTTTTTTAGTGTTACCCTATACGTTATGGGCTGTTCCTTTAGGTACAGAATCACAAAATTTTCTGTAATATAAAAAGTGTACTTCGGACACTTTTTCATCCTTTTATGTATTTTATTTATGTTACTAATAACCGCAATAATTTATTTATATCGCGTTTTTTTTTTTTAGTTCCCTTAACAGAGTCTTTTATTGTCACAGAACTACAAAGTGAAAATCATTTTAGTTACATTATATTATATTATATATTTGTAGCGTCAATATTTTGTACAAATGACAAAAGTGCCTCTTCGAAAAAAAAAATCCGGTTTTAACGTCTGTTTTAAAATATTTACGTCCTATTTTAAAATTCAATTTTGGTTTTAATTAAGTTTAAGTTTTAAAATTGAATTTAAAACAGAAAATAAATATTTTAAAATAGTCGTGAAAAACTAAGACATGATAAAATTTTTCAAACTGGCGCTATATAGTTCCATTATACTGCATTACTGGTAAGTCGATCCGTTGTCTAGATTGCTACGAGTGTAAGTTTATGTATCTAAAGAGACAGACCATAGATAATGTTGTCCAACCAGTGTTGACCAACCCGTAGACATTGAAAAGACGTTTTGACACTTTCTAATTCAGCCTTACATTAGAAAGAGACAATGTAGTGGGCGATCGCGATTATTATACCAACCATTTTACATCTGCACCGTCTACAGGGCTCTTTATAGAAAGCTTCAACCGTCCAACATATTGGATATGGTGGCGCTATTGATTATGATTTGAACGTTAGAAAAAAATGTTGTCCAAAATTCACCAACGTGAAGAGTATCAAAATTAACTTGTCAGCCATTAATCATCTGCCACTATCCTTTAAATAAATATAACGCCTTATATCGACCAACATGCAGGTCAGTCCATATCTCTATACAGACAATTAGCTATGCCGAATCGCGTAGACGATTTAGTCGCACGACATAGTCACCCTGCACGTGGTACACATAAATTGGTAGCATAATAATTTGCCGACAGATAATATATACAAGGTGATTCTGAAAGAGTGCAATAAAAAACCAGCGACGAGCACTTATATAATAGAAGTACACAACATTTTCATACGAATTTTGAAAAGTTTACAATGTGCATTTCGTTATTTTCCCCAAGTCGTGTAAAAAGTTGTTCTGTTTAAATAGATTCGGACCCTAACGTTATTATTATTTATTACACTCTTTTTACCTTACATACCAATAGCTATGTGATGACAGCCATATTGTTTTGTAATATAACAAATTTGTCATTAATAAATTGGAAAAAAAAAATTAAACACTAAGCTAAGTTGTATTGAGCGCTAACTCACTTTGTACAATATTACAACATGATAAAACTAACATACAATATTAGACTCTTATCACTTTGAAATAAGCCCGCGTACTTTTATTAAATATAAAGTTGAAAATAATATTTAGACTAATTTCAAAATGATTTGAGCAAAGAAGCAATAGCACGTGTAAGTACTGGATAATTTCAAATAACCATTGAAGTCTCTCAAAATAAACTTTCCGTTATAACGATTAATAACGGTTATCGTTATTTCCCGTTATTAATATAGCCACTAATAGCCGTTTTCGTTATAACGACTAATTGTTGTCATAATGATATTATTAATCGTTATTACTAATAACGATCACAAAATTAATAACGTTACTGTTGTATATAACGTTGACACATATTTAATGCGATAAAAATCGAGAATCTACTCTATACATCTGCTTCTCCATGTTTCGCCACCAGTTGTGTGATTGATAAAACGTGAGCATTGCCACGTGAATTGATGATTGTCTATGACAGTGATTTCTACAAATCTTTATGTTTAAAATCTGTCATACAACTAATATTTTAGGAATATTAATCGTTAAAACGACTCGTTATTTTCATGACAACATCGTTGGTTTGAAACCACCCTGCATATCCGATATTATACGTCGAAAGTTTCAAACAGTGTCTTTTCGAACAAGTTCATAGTGACGTTTCAATAACTTCATAAAAAAACATAAATATATATATTTTAAAATTAAACATTCGATGCATATTATCGGACCTTTTACTTATCTACAATTAAAAAAAAAAGAAGGAAAAATCCGACGTAAAGTTATAATTATTTATACAAATTATAGATTTTTTTTAAATCGAGAGCGGTTTTACAAGTAAAAACTAAAATTTTACTAAACTTACATTCACTTAATGTTAAAAAACTCAAAGGAACTTCTACTATGAGCTTTAAATACCTTTCAAAAACCATTCAATACGTACGTACATATTACGTATTAACACACAGAAATTCGAATTACATAATGTTTTTGTATAATTACTTTACTTAACATTCTATCATTCAAATAATAGTGAGATATAAAAGTGCAACACACCTATAATATTTAACGTTGACACGATAACGTTATTTTGTTATTCGTTATAACGACAAAAGTTGTGATACAACTTTTCGTTACAGTGTTGCATTTATTTTTCAGTTTTGCTAAAACGTGACAAATGCTGTAAAACTACGGTACAACACTAATTCTCACTCCCTATTAATCCGTGCCAATGACTATAAACGCTATACTAGTATAACCAATTAGGAATTTTGAACTAGCTTATGAAAAAGTCGTTATTCAGAATTTTGCCCTATTGTAAGGGACAGTTTAACTGAGAACACTAATCAAATATTGCACATGACAACTAACATAGTACTATTTCAAAAATTGATAATTCCGTTAGTTGTCAAATGCGATATCTTTCTCATAATTTTAATTCCGAAATTATTCATATTAGCGCCATCTAGTTTAACGTCTATAGTAACTGCATGATCTCCATGGTAGGACTGAAATCTTATAAAAACCTTTTACTACACCTCCACTTTCACTTCTTCACGTAAACGTAGGATGAATTCTTTTCAATTACATTCAGTATTACGAAGTTTCCTAGCAACCTAACTCATAGTAGAAGCATTAAACACGTCGCTCTTAAAAGTTCATCACTTTCTTGGCACATCCTTAATTATTCTTTGATGACCATCTATTTTATAAATAATTCTAAGTCACAATTTTTACATAGATTTTCCCCACACACGTAGTATACCGCGTGGCCTAAATTGTACTCAAAAACACTGGATCAACCGCCATTTAATTCCAAAAATCGTTATAAACATGTTAAATACGTAATTAGGATATTGTGGGATATTATGGTCATTTTAACACCCAAAAATATTCAAAACTCGACCGAATAAGCTTAATACAGTGTCTGAGCTCATAATACGTTCAATTCCATCAACTAAAGTGACATTAAATAGTGTATATTTCGCGCTAAATCTATAACGTTATTAACATTATTCGTTATAAATTAAATTTTCGTTTATTTTACATTTACCATCCCTATACAAATTCTAGAACGTCAAAATTTAGCGCGAAAGTTCTAAAATTCAGTCAAGAATATTAGAAATCGAATAGTTCAGGTGGTGGTATCGGATCTGTGGGTAAACAATCGCATTCGGGAGATCTCATTCTGGATTGTCTTCGCAATGTATGAACGCTGTAGGAATAAGACTGATGAGGCATACTGGGTTTTAAACTCTTCCTGCTATGATCTATATCCACACTGTCTGCTCGTAGAGATAGTGACGACCTTGGCTGTATCGTGGTAGAATGGTGAGGAGAGACAGGGGGTCGGAGATAGTCACTGCGTGCGAGTGATAATTCCGCAGGTGTATACGCTGTTAGAAAGTGAGCTAATGCGCCAGAGGGGGTCCTCATACCTCCGTTTGCAACGAATACCATATCTTCAGCGGAGAGTCGAAGACTATCGGTTCTTGGCGGGGGAGGAGGTGGTGGGGGTGGTGTGGAACGATCGTCGGACGAAGAGTGGGGGGTGGGGGAGTGTGGTGAGCGAGAGGCGTTTGGGGGTGGGGAGGGGGAAGGTGCAGGTCGGCGGCGGCGGCGGCGGCGCGGGGCGCTCCCGGGCAGTCACAGCTTAAGCTCGTTTGCGATCTTTGAAGCAATGTTCTTGAAACCGATCGATGTGCCTGCAACAGGGGGAATGTTAGTTAAGAAATAATCTTTATTTATGGAGCCGTAAACGCGCGTCATCTGCGCATAGACGGACCGCAGTAGTGCTATGGTGAATCGATTAAAACGGGCGCAAATATTAGAGAGTTTACACTTAACACACACACCGACACACATACACATACATACACACACCTACACTCTAGCTTAATTTTATTTTTGGTTTAATTTTTAAATACGTAAGGTTCCCTTCCAATATTTTGTATATTTGAATTTTTTAATAATTTCTAATTTATTTGCATCCTGTTTATGATTGTAGGTAAACAGTTAGAGCTTTTCTTCTCTTTTTGTCTTTTTTAATTGTCATTTCCTATCTAATAACTTTATTTTGTTTACTGACTGTACTATCGCCGAGAGGGGGAGCCAGGATTGCCATAGCACAGGGCTTATAGTTTGGGCTCCTGTCTCCCATAGCCAAGCTCTATGTTCAATCATGTAATTATATTTTCTAATTGTTGGGAGAAAGTAAATGATATTATTATTATTACTTAGAATTTCATGTACTTAGTTGCTTCATTTCAAAAACTAACTGAAATTAACAAATAAAACTAAAATTAAAAGTATCTTATCTTAAGTAAATTATAAGTATATTTAGTATACTGCCTCCGTGGCCGAACGGTTTCCATGCCGGACTGCCACGCAGAGGTCCCAGGTTCGATTGCCGGGCCGGGAGAAATATTTGTATGGTCTATATTTATTTCTCTCGTGAGTTTGGGTGTAATTTGTGGTTGTCTATGTGTGTGTCCGCGACACAGGGTTTCCCTAGTGCGGGGCTATGTTGATTGTGAGCGTTATTATGTGAGCGTTATTTTACCTATTCTTAAAGTAATGCATCCAAATTAAAACCCTTGATAAGAAATTTAAAAAAAATAGAAATGTTTGGCCATCTGAAAAACGACTGCAAAGACGACTGTCAAGAACAGTTGGTTTATTTTTATTCCCCGTAGCAATGTTATGTCTACATATTTCAATGTGCCAGATTGAAGGGCAAGCCACGCCACCGCAATCACAACCACAGAAATTTGAAAATGTCCTGTCTTATAGCCGTCAACTCGCTCGCGATATTCACAACAGTCTTTTTTTATATTATCAAGTGACGGGCCGAACAAGTCGTGCGCCTGATCGAAGCTACACGCCTGCCCATTCAATCACACACATTCCACTATCCACTGTTGCAGTGCCACTCAGATCTTTAAATCGCAAAGATCTGAGGGGCCTGTGCCTGTAATTTCACCAGGTCCGATACCCTTCAAAACCGGAACGCAGTAATGCTAACATTACGGGTTGGCGGCAGAAATAGGTAAGGTGGCAGTAAGAGGCACAACTGCTGCTGCTATATGTATTGGCGTCTGATTGTTCCACAACCGTTTTGTAGACCATAAAAGGTTGTAACTATGCAAATTGAAGTTTATTTACAAATAAAACCTACCGGATATTCTCTTGAAGCGTACGCCATTAAGCGAGAGCCTCGGTAGCTTGCAGACTTCAATTTCCCACTGAACCAGCGAGTCTGCATTAGGGTCACCGTGCACGCACAGCAACAGGAAACGCTCGCGCTGCTCGTAATCGCAGTTGTTCGCATCCAGCACCTGCCACAAAACAACGCTATTGTCAACGCCATCTATTCGAGACGAAGTTATCAAAAATGCTAACGCCATCTATTGTTCACTACTTACACTATCAATTTTACTTTCGATCAATAAAAATGCAAGCATACGAGTTGTATTTATGGAAGAATAGCTGGCCACCTGTTTGCTGGCCATAATAATATGTTGTATTGTGAAGCTTTCCTGCCTTTATCATTGTATATATTTCAACGCAAATGTGATGAAAAACAATGTAAGTAACACTTGCGGTAAAAAATACGAATCTCGACTTATTTAAGCTTCTCAAAAATTCTTATTTACCGCCCGGCCTCAATACACAATTTACGATTATATACCAGTTTCAAAATTGTATAATACTTTTTGATTAATCAAACATTTTTTAAGCTTAGCGCGTTCGTGCAAACTTGCATCTTCAATATTGAATATTGAAGATGCAAGTTGGCACAAAGTATGTGTCCGATATCCGTAGGGTAATAACACAATGTACAAAGAACGCATACACAAATATTTAAGCAGTTTATTTTATTTTGCGATACACACGTCCGTCACTCGTCTCGGTTCAGAACTCATTGAAAACCAGCGCCACAGTTAATTATGGCTGTGGCATAATATGAATAAAGTATTTTTGCGTACGCCACAACCGCACAAATGACAGTACAACATTTGTAGTCGTTATATTTAGTTTTTTGTATTCTTTATTTAGTTTATTAATTCTTTAAATTTTTATTTCACTTGTCTGAGTGTTATAAATATTTTTTTTTTGTTGTGGCGTTGCAATAAATGTCTATTCTATTCTATTGTAATACCAGTCAATATGATTCTTACTTTTCTAATCTCAGCCATTATCTCGTTGGGGTCGCGCGAAGATGTAGTCTTCATGCTCCACGTGAAACGGAGCACCCTCGGCTTCACCTGCTCCTCATTGCCTTGCCTGTGCCAAAACGCATCGTTACATACTTATATTACCACCAGGAAACTCCCTTGTGTACTGCATAGCGATGTTAACTGATAAGACACGATGAATAATTAATTCACTTGGATCCTTCGGGAGGATCCATTGATGGATCTAAATAGAAAAAAAGAAAAGTACAAAACACGTCACAAAAACTTTGTGACCACCTATTCTTTTTGCTATGGTTTTGGCGGCAATTGTGTTCAGAATTGTGTGAAGAATTCAGGTCTTCAAAGTCATCTCCAGACAGGACTTTATCACCTATTAACGTCACGAATAGGAAGTTTCGTCCTGCCTTTATTGGAGCTTCAATATTGTTACCCAATTTTATTTAAATCTAATCTTCCAGGACCTTTCAATTGTTCCTACCAAAGTACAAGCTGAAGTCTTGATGGATCCAAACATTATACAGTACACTTTTATAAATCGCTGGATTATAACCAATCGATCAAATAGTCAAAGTGACGGTTGCAGTTCTACAAGTTATGTGAGCATGTTGTAGTGTGTCGACACTCGTCAATCGTACACACGTTATTATAACTATAACATCATATTATATTGTTTACTATAACTCACGCATGTCACAAAAAAGTAAAAGAGAAAAACAGTAATAATATAAAATAAAAAACTGCACCTTCCAATGAGAAAAATCACGCACCAATGTCTAACCATTTTCATCAGCCTGTAGATAAATTGGATTGCGGCTATCTACTTATATTATTCTTGGTTGTACGAAACAGTACCAAAAAGTTTATAAATTGGGGACCTACTACTCTCGAAGTCTCTCAATGACGAACAGGTCGTTCCAATATGTGAAATCGTGTTGTCTGTAACTACGGAATTCGTGCTTCGATAGTAGGACCCCTGTTACGAGCGTTTTTTCGGAAACGAAATAAAATACCAATGTCAAGAAAGTAGCCAATCAGATGGCTAGTCGGTGCGGTACCAAAAATAAAACGACATTGACATTCCATTTCGTCGATAATTGAAATTAAAAAATGAAACTAAAAACGCTCGTTACAAAGTGCACGCTACCATTTAAAAAAAGCAACGAGATGCAAAAAAATCAATAATTTTGCAAACATACAGGAATACATGAAGGATTGGACCCCGCTTCAGCATTACAGTGCAGTGTAGCAGGTAAAACGCGAAAGGCAGCCCGTTAGCATTGATATTCTTTCTTTTTTCTTTCTGTTCTAATTAGTCAGACTCGACAAATATTCATAATCGGATTTTACAGGCCTACCGCTTAAATGAGTCGGTTCCTGAGAAAGCTATGCTGTGCGGAAGGAGTGATAGTTTACGTATTAGTTATATCGCGCTGCACGCGGAGTAATTTCAACAAGGTTTATCTGACGATATTCAAAAACAAGTTGATTGAAAAAACTGTCTACAAAATAAGTCGATTGTTGTTATGTGCAACGATGATAAAAAAAAACTATTTCATTGATAATTGAAATAAATAGACAAGCCATTTAACACTTTTTTCAATCAACTTGTTATTGAATATCGTCAGAAAAATCTTATTCAAATTGTCCCGTGTGTAAACTGTCATCCCTCTCGCGCCGTGCAGCTACGTCAGGAGCCGACTCAGTAAAACGGCCTACATGACAGTCCGCAGCGCATGCAGGAAACTGCTCACGCAGTATCCTGCGTACTGCCACACATGACGCATTGCAGGATAGCTAGCACTCTGCGACTACATTCACAATCCTGCATTACGCGACAGACTGCAATGCAGGATAATGAATGCCCTCTTTTAAGCGGTAGGCCTGTAGTTAGAGATAGCAAACTGACATTAACTAATGTCAATTGAAATAAAAAATAACGTCGCCACGTTGTACAGTGATGTGTTTTTATTCACTTCTCTATGAACTTAAGAAAAAAAAGAATCATTCAAATAGTAACGTTATAGATTTCTTACCATTCTGCTGAACAATAATTCATCTACATTTAGTCATAGAGATCTCCTGTAATATTTCTGGTTTTTTTTTAATATCTACAAATTATTACAGGACTAACCTAATGGAATAGTGTAGAAAATTATCAATTGTTCAGTATTATTATTACATTACTATATTTTATTGAGTTATACTAAATTGTATTATTATTACTATACATCATTTATTACTTAATAACAATCATAACATTTCTTTTTATGACCCCTAGTGACGGGACAGAAAAGGTTCACAGCAGTTGCCACTCAGAATTTTAAATCGCAATGATCTGAGGGTCACTGCGCCTGACAAGTCCCATGAGCCTATAATGTCACCAGCGCCCTGACCCTTTACATATAACAACATAAAATAAACAATACACAAATAAAGCTGTTCTAACGAACACACACAGTGAACAGGCAAGTAGGCGAATGTTCCCGTCAATAAATAATATTCAAATTGAACTAGCAACCCAGTCAGTTTACTGTCTTTAATAAAAATCCAATTATAGTGGAAACAGTGGTTTAAATGGACTACACTGATGTACGATGAGACAATACATCAATGCACTCGAGCTGTGTTTCGTCTCACCAAAGTCAAGCGGTTTAAACGTGTTGTCAAGTGAGGTCCAACCCTAAAAGGATAAATTATGATAATTACCCAAGCACGGGCTGTGGACTAGCGCCTACGGCATGCTTCGGTGTGGTACCGTCCAAGGGCCTATGAACAGAAAAACATAAACACTAATTCTAAACACTAGGTGATATAAGGAATACATTGAACGTAGTATCAAGCTGTTATAAAATATTTTTTTTAATAAATACGTTATTAAATTTCTTAATATAAAACTTAAGACTCGTGGTTATTCATTAAGTACAGTTAATGGTTTGTTACCATGGTATGACGTCTTATTATTTCCCGATATTTTGCACCGTTTACACGCTCCAAGATCACAGGGTGACCGGTTTGCGGAAAGTGACAGTTTTACATATCTTGGAAATGAAACAATTTCTTTTCGGATCCAAAAAGCGTATATTTGTTTTTTCAATAAGTTTGTGACGATGTGACCTCCTTACATTGTCATAACACCGTTTTATCACCTTTTCTCCAGTTCCTGGCCACTCGTTTTTTAATTTTAAATCTTTCTTTAATTCCTTTGCTCTCCATTCTGATTTTGTTTCGTTCCATCTGTCTCCCTGCCCGATCGCGGCAGCGAACACGTCTTCTCGTTAATGTTTTTGAACTATATATATTGTGAGACTGCGGAGGCTACTACTCTCCTGGCGACATTCAATCCACAGAACATTCCAAGCGGTACCAGCAGCGGTACACGCTTTTCAAGTTAGTCGTGACCATGGGAACTGTAAAGGTTCGAAAACGTTGGTTGGTTTGGAAAAACAAATATGCAGTGCCGGCTTTACCTATGATGCAGCGTGTGCGGAGTACGGGGACCTAAAGACCGTCGAGCGCTGCTCGCGACGCCTCCAGAGAGCCTGCAAGCTCTTGCAGCACAATTTTGTGATAGTTTTATATACCTTGAGGTATGGGCGAGTATACCCAACCTGTCATATGTACGTAACAACGTCGCCGTTATTGGTTACTAAATATAAAGAAACAAAAAGGTTTTGTAGAGCAGTTGTACTTAACCAAAATTTGTCACGGTTCTTTGCGTGATCGCTACATAAGAATGTTTTTTTTATTAATCTTTTATTTTGAGGATATTAAATTTGCCTGTTTTAATGGAAAATTAAGTATAGGAAACCTAACTCAATCTCAACTAATCATCGATCGAGACTACTTGCAAGACCTAAACGGGTCACTATCACGGATTTTTGTCATCCAAGTACGCAGATCTGTTTACAAAACCACTTTCACTATGGCAACACCTAACAAATCGCGAAAAAAATCAGCTGTATCATGCATTTCGACTTCATACATAGATGGCCAAATGTTTTGCACAGTGGACGCTGGGTGAAGAGGTCCCGGGTTCAATTCCCGGTAGGACTAACTTTGGAAATTAAATTTTTAAACTGATTCTGATATGGATGTTCCAGATAGTGCCCTAGAGTAATTTCCGTTCCTCTGGTACTCATAGCACGATGAATTCCCTATGTTGACACCAAGGCGAGGCAACTGGGGTAATTCTCTAGCACATTATTAATTAGAATCGATTTTAGACTCTTGCCTTGACCATGGCCTAAAAGATTAATTTTGAATTTTCGAATGGGATAGGCAGTATTCTCCGGCAATGGCACAGTCGACCGGGGTCCGGGACTCAGGTTCAAAAACCGGCGAACAAAACGTGCCGTATCGAGCAAGATCACTTTCTTTCATTTGTTCTGTAAGCAACACGCCACAGAAATCAAATTAACCCGTTTGCGGACAAGTCTATAATTATTAGTATTATTATTTTGGTCGAATAGGTAGGCATATTTTGTATGGAACAGTTGTATCTCTAAATTGGCAGTGCCATTGATCGATTACTGCAGCTGTAACCTGATATGCACTAATTTCACAACTACACGAAAGTCGTATCTCATTAAAAATAAATACACGTTTTACATAAAATTTCATTTTCAGCTTGATAAAACGTTCATTAAACAATAATGAGTGCACAAAACGACACTTCAAAAATCTAGACAAAAAAAATAAAGCACATCAAAAGCAAGCATAAACAACACAAAAAAAAATCACTAGCTCAGACAAAAAATGCACATGCATAAACTTGACTTACTACCAACGCCAACGCCACTAACTTGTTTTACTACAGTGGCACTAATTAATCTGTGTAAATGTGTAAGAAATATATGTGATAACGTTGGTTCCTTTATCACCCTTATTTGCCGCAACATTAGAATATGTATAATTCATGAAACGTATGTCAAAGTAAATTCTGCCACCGTTAGTTCAAAGGAAGTGACATTTAAAAAAAATTGTTATATGTACTGCCGTGATCACTAAAAGAGGCCACTTTGTCACTATTTTAATTTTATTACAAAAATATTATTTTTTTTATTTCCTTTCTTTAAACATTATTTTCTCGGTTTTGAGTTTTTGTCACAAGCGCCCTTTCAACTAACGGCGGTAGAATTAGTGGTTCTGTATGTTGCTAACAAAACCGATGTATCATGTCTTTATTACTATGATTTATATTCATATTTTTATGAACTAGTTTGGTATTATTATTGACGCATGGAACAAACACAAAGAAAATTGTTATTGAATATCATTGTAATAAAAACATGATATCCAATAAAATATAGGAATTAGTAAAGCGACATCTCTTGTCAGCCGCAGGTAACTGGCTGAGTGAAGAAAAAACTTTCATAGGTTTCTCACAGATAGCGCTACGGGAAACAGTCGTTAAATAAAAAACAAAGATCGGCAACCAGCACGTGGAGAAATTCGTGAGGTCTGCCGATTCGTCTGTAGCTCAGTCGGGAAAGCGGTTAGCCCCGGTCTGACAAACAGATGATGGTTGGAATCCAGCCAGATCGAAGGAATTTTTCTTTGTGTGGGTTCGATCTTTGTATCAACAATTGTCTATTTACTAACTTAGTGGGGTAATCGACTAATCCGCGAACTAGCTGTAGGAATGCTATCGAAAATCAGATTGGATGCAGTCGTTACAGGTCGTGTGACTACACCCTTATCTGTATTAGGGTAATGAAAGGAACTAACGCTGCCATGTGGACGAACATCATTACGCACCCTCATACGCAAAGAACAATAACCATAGAGGTTATTTGTTCTTTGCTCACACGAAAAGCAACGTCTTGGGAAAATGACAAAACATAAAAAAACCATGTGGCTACCATTTGACTATTATTGCCAAATGTGAAAAGTTCTATTTGATATGAAAAAAGTTTTTTTTTTCACATGTTTTATTTTTATTAATTTTGTAATATCCCAGAAAATTTAATTTTTAAATTATGACAATTTATAACTGAGGGTGTGATATGAACCATCAGTTAGTATTATAAGTAAAACTACATAGACACTAGGGTCACATAAATAAGTTGATAGGTCTGTATAGCGTCCCATTTAAGTTACACACTGCGACTTTTAGCTTCTACGCTTATGATTTATAGGCGATTATAACGATACAAACTCGCAATTATTTATTACTCAAATAGTTTTTTTTTCTTTGTCTAATTGTAGCTTGTGTCCATTTGTGTCTAATTTTATTTACTTAGTGCCTAATTGTCTACTATTATTTGATGTGTATATTTGGTATTATGATTTTTAAATGACTTATTTATTATTCAAATTGATTATTTACTTCGTCCAATTGTTGCTTATGTCAAATTTTAGTCACTTAGTGCATAAATGTCTATGGTTATTTTAATTTTGATTTTTGTTTTGTACGTAACATGTAACATATAATTATTATTTGAATAGTGATGTTCCATATTATGACGAGCCATGACAGAATAACAGCGAGGGCTATGTAATCAGCATAGTCCTCAGAGGCTGAGTCATGGACCCCTTTGACATGCTTTTTTTTATTTTGTATGCTTCTTTTTTATTTTTATTATAATTGCCTTTTTTTACTTTTTTGTTGCCTTGCTTGAAATTTATGCAGGTGAAATAAAGCCTATTTTTATTTATTTTATTTTATTTATAAATCACAAGTGTAGCGATGCAATCTCGCGTTTGTATCGATGCAGTCGCGCGTTTGCATCGCTGTTTAAAGTGGTCGTGTGTAACTCTTAGGTGTTACGTAATATCGGAGATAATTTTTTAAATTGATTATTTGCAACATGTTAAAAGATTTTTTAAGGGTTGAAACCTACTTGTCAGCACGCCTCAGCATCGAGGGCACTGGTGATGCTGATGTTTGTTAACAAGTGAGGTACACACCTAACACGATCACAGTCCAATATAGCTAAAGCCGTACAAAAAAGTAATTATCAATATTGAAATATTCTAAAATAGCAATTTTCGCCACTTCTATATTTATGAACTGTGACTGTGTATAAAAAGTACAACCATGCTCATTACAAAAAAATCTTACGACCAGAAGTAAATCTTTAAATTTTAATTCCCTGAATCCATGGTTCATTAATACGAATAAAAATAGGCAAAACTCGCCATGGTAGTTATATTGTCTCTTGTCTACCGGTTATAAGTACTTCTATAAGTATAGTGTGCGCGACGGCCACGCTAGCGAGACTGTAATATGACGAAAATGTAATATGAAATATCCTGCGTGGGGTCGTCCATGTTAATCATGCTTTTTTTCATATAACATTTTTACATGAAAGTGTCCAAACATTACATTTTTTACTTACGTACTAATGTGGCATGATCAATCATAGTGTTTCATATGAGAAAATATGCTTAGTCGGCACAGAATCTGGCACGGTTTGCTAGGAGACGTCGGTTCAAATCCGACTGGATCGAAGGAATATTTTTCTAAGTGTTCGATCTTTGTATTAATAATTATAACAAACTAGTGGAGAAATTTCACGAAAAAACAATTGAATATCATGATGTTGAAATATTCTGACAATCAATAAAAATTTAATTACAGTTAATAGCCACATCAACCAAGGCCGATCGCTTTAAAGGTACTGGGTGACGAAATACTTGCATATATTTGTCATGGAGGACGCTACGGCTAAAAGTGTTGAAAACCAAATACAAAGATCCGACAACAAGCACATACAAAAAATAGCGAGGTCCGCTGGTTCGTTCCGTGGCTTAGCTAGCACAGCGTATGCCACGTTCGATCTTTGTATTTATAATTAATATAACAGTAATCAATAAACCAAATTTTTTGAGCAAAGCCATTTTTGCACAACTTAAAACGCTAAATAGGGAATGTGATCTCCAACAGACTCTAATCACAAATATAACTCTAGTACTCGTATATATCAAGCCTAATCAGTGCGTAGTGAAAACTGTAACGTAAAGGACAAGGACATGCAAAAATCTATGCGAGCAAAACTATGACATACCACCTTACACTTTGCACACACTTTTGTATATATATAAGTATCTCTTGGTCAGTTATTTATGTGATTCAATATACAATTAACTTTCATAATAGATGTGAAACTAAAGTGTCCTAACAAAATGAACCATAGATTTCTATAACCATGTTAAGTAGAACTCTAGTATCATTTACAATGTAGTCGAGGCGGGGTCAAAATGCAACAAACGATTAGTCAAAACAGCATTGTTAACACTTCAGAGCTGACATCAGTAAAAAAAAAGGTTATTCACAATGTAGTCCATCCAATTTCGTACTATTAAAAATACAACAGACATGTTACGAATTGTATTTTTGAAAAAATAAAAGCTTTGACTTGTACAATTAATTTGTTTATTAATTGAAACAAGACGGTTCTTAAATGTATAAAGATTTTACAGCAGGCACATTAATTTTATTATTTGCATGAGTATTTCTTTTAGTTGAGTCGAAAAGCTAGATTATTCAGCCATTTTACTTAAATTTATGAATGAAACTCAACCTAAAACACTTATGAATACGAGTTCGTTTATGATTCGTAAATAAAAAGTGTTGAGAAATTATTTTTTTAATCAATTTTGGTATTTTCGTGGTTAGTCAACTCGTGATCATGGAACAAAAGGTTTGGGTCGCACTTGTCAACAGGCAACACCATTGCGTCCATATTAAGCGTGTATTTTATATACGCACGCTGCGTGGTCTAATCATACTGGACTAATTAAAACATCATACTGGAATGAGACAGTAACTAGTGACAATTAGTTAATTCTTTGTGTCTATGGCTTTATATTTTGTTTTATAAATCGGTTGGACTACAGGGTTAGGTAAAACACACACAAAAAATTTTCAAACTTCAAAAAAATGGCAATTTGCGATATCGACAATTTGAGGTGAATTCTCTTATGAATGGTTTAAGTTTTTACAATATGATATTTTAGATATATAACGAGTTCAGATGCACTGATACTTCTGTTCGCTACTACATGCGATATTGGTGTGAGAATGTAGAAACGAAAATATTTATATATAAATACGTATTGTTCAATCAAATATCTAAATTACGACAACAAAATAGATTAATAATAAAATGCATTAAATAAAAAATCTTTGATTTAGTTTAATAGAATTTTCATATCATTTACCAAATTTTCATTAATTTATTAACAGCAAGTAAAAAAAATTATACCTTTGTAATTTCGAAAACAAAATTTTCTCCCAAAATAAATTCACGGTTTCACCACAAACCCTCAAATCGTATTGCCAATAAGTCCCAAATTAAAAACCAAATGTAAAAAAAGAAAACAATTTTTCATTTGTGTCATTCAAATACCTCCGCTGAATGTCGAGTGAGGAGAATATACGGGGCTTCTGGCGCCCTGTGGCCTCCCCGATCACCGACAGGCTGGTTAAAATATAATTTTTTAATACAATTTATACTTTTAATTTAAGTCAGAGAACTCATTTTTATTTAGAGATAGCAAACTAACAGTTACAAATGTCACTTTTAAAAGTAATGTTGCCATGTTTATTGTTTAGTGATGTGTTAGGTAAAGCTTTCAATAAACGTACTGAAACAGAATCAGTAAAAAAGAAACGTTCATTTACTAATGAGGACAGATATTTACTGATGCGGGATATCAGTGTACCGCAGAGTCCGCTGGTTCGCCGCGGCCTCCACTGGCATGCCACCGGTTGCTCGGATTTGAATCCCTTCTACTAGCAGTCGAAAAGTCCTCGGTGCATTTAGGAAGACAGCACCGATGGATTCCGACGCATACCAGTGGATTCCGTCGCATACCGGTAGATTCCGTCGAATACCGGTGGATTCCGTCGCATACCGGTGGATTCCGTAGCATACCGTGATACGCTGTGGTGCTCCGAGGTTGATCTCAGAGCATTGAAATCTGTACCTTATTTTAATTGTTATTATGATCTAACGCTGACCTTTAGTCTCTATAAAGCGCAGGCCACACCACGAAAGAAGCTAACTTAGCTTAGCTCACGTAGCAGGCACCTATTCATACCTCGGTTCACATCGCGAACTAAGCTAACCTAGCTAACTAAACTAACCCAACGATCCCGCTAAGCTATGTAAAATATGTCGCCTTTCTGCCGCCCTTCACCTCCACCCGTATTCATAGTGTAGCACGTATTTTCTTGGCTTAGCTTTGCATGCAACTACGTGAGCTAAACTAAGTTAGCTTAGCTTCGTTCGCAGTGTGGCCTGCGCTTAATAATATACTTCCATCATTTTTATTTTATCAAAATATTGATTTTTTTTAATGTACAATATACAAATGATTAAATATAAATTTACCTCGATGCTACAAAGTGACTCAGTGAAGTTAAGACAACATTATTTTTGTTTTATTAAAAACTAGCAACTTACTGAACTGCAGTTTACTATCTCGAAATTAAAAATCTGTCTGTCTGTAATAGTATAGAATGGGATCAAGAGTAAATCCAGAATTCCTCAAAATATCTTTTAAATGTAATATTCATAAGTACACGTTCAACGAATAATAAATATTTTGTTGTTGTTTTAGAATCTGGTGCACATGATCTTATAAATTTAATCCTTAGCAAATAAAAAATCGATTGAGAAAGCATCGATTAATAAAGGGTTCTAATTATTCAAACTGAAACGTCTTAACGCACCAGTTTAATAACGAAAACAATATTATTCGAAATGATTTTTTTTTAAATATATAAATAGCGTTATTTGTTTTTTCGAAAAAACCAACGTTTCGGCTTTTTTATGTCCAATGGTAGTCATGGCCCAGTATTTATGATCGAAGATATTTATGATCATATATTCGTTTTTGCAAACAAACCAATAACAAATAATAAACTACTTAGATCCGAAAAAAAAAGGTTTTTTTCCAGTTATAGCAATTGCAAAAACCCCCTTCAGAAATTTACGATAATTTATTTTAACATTGCGTACGAATGTTGATGCTAAGTTTTAACGCACAAAGGTATTTTTGTTAAAGGCAAAAATACCTTATGCATTAAATACAAGCCTGTGGATATACAGGGTAATTTGTAAAATACTAACAATGTCGCATGACTATATTACAAACATCATAAGGGGATTGCACGAAAGAAGCCTCCCGGCGCGATCTACCATGCATATGCTATTCGGCGAGAAAGTAAGTACCTACTCTGTAATGCATGCCATCAATACGATAAGATCATAAACAACAACTTCTGTTTCATTACTTTTAATCATTCATCAGATTTTACTTTTACGTAAATAGATCAGGCTAAACATTGATAACTCTGTGCGGTAACAAAAGTAAGCGCTAGCGTAAATACCAGTCCGATGTAAAATACAAATAAAGTTTTATTATGTTTTGTAAGTCATGGAACAAAAGATGTTGTTTATGATGTTAGTAAAACAGTCCTGCGAAGTTGTTGATATTTAACAATTAACCCTGTATATCTTTTCTTCTAGAACAGTAATAATAAATTTACAATCTTAATACTATAGATATGTAGTTTTATTGAAGGAGCAGTGTATGGTATTGATTTCTTATTTTTCTTTGCAGTGTCTTAAGCTTTATTGCAATTCACGGATCCGTTTTGTTATTTTTTTTATCAAACGTATTATAAAAAAAAGCAAAGCTATTTTACCACGACGTAGATATCTACAAGTCAAGGATGTCTAGCAATATTGCTAGACATCCGTCTTTATTGTGTATGTCTGCTTCCGCAAATTTTCTTTGGCCCTTTTCACACAAACTGTTCGTAGTTTCAGTTATAAAATTTGATATAATTAAACATAATTTGTTTTATATAATTCATATTGGACTGTAATTGTAATTCATAACTGGCGACAACGACCACACAAGTTACACGTGAAAGCGGTCGTGTTTTCAATACTTTTCTTGCTTGATAACATTCACACCCGAGATGTGAAGAATGCCGTATTAACAGAATAAATGTGAAAAGGGCCTTTATCGACGCATACCATAAAGAACAGTTGAATAGGCCAGGTTGCCAAATTACATAGGAATAAGGCTCTAAGGTTAAGGTACGTGTATGGGAGGGTTTCTTAACCATTTTCTAGTCATGGACCCCTCTAAAAATTTCAAAGAGCACGCGGACCCTTTCTGAAAATATGAAGAAGAATGGCTCACGGGTTATCTGTTGACTGGCAAAGGGCGCGAAAATTCAAAATTGTCACGCGCGCAGTACCTTTTTACTCACAACATATTATTCTATGCCAATGTTTATATTAATTCATTATGCGAGTGCAGTATAATAATGGATTCAGAATGCTGTTGGGACTACCAAGTTTTTGCAGCGGGTCAGGCATGTTCGCAGAGGCGCGTACTGACTGCTTCAGTGAGACAATACGCAAGATAACTGCCACCCTAATACGCCGTGTGCGTGGTGGTTCAAACAGCCTTGTGAATTTAATTGGGAGTTCCCTGTTTGTGCTATTTGGGAGCACTGGAACTGATCCCATACCAACATAGCCTATAGGTGTTTGTAACTAACACAATATGGACATGGTCCGAAATAAAAATGTTGAATTTGAATTATGTTAGGTAAGCTCGCCATGGACCCCCGACTTTCATTACACATTTTAGGGGTCCAGGACCACAGGTTAAAAAACCCTGCTGTATGGGAATAAGGCCCTAAGAGGAAGTGACGTTTATAAATAAAACACAAGGGTATGTTATTGAAAACCTGATTATTTGGAGAAGCGCAACACATCTATTAGTATTGCTTTGACAATACAATTGAATACAATAATGACATTCAAACAAACTCAATGTTTCACTCCATTTCTACATATTGTTTGCGACCAGCAACAAACACTTCGGTTCAAATAGTGGAGTCTTTAATTTTGAACACAATGGGTAAATACAGCTGTCGATTCACGCAGGCGCAAACTAAATTTTACGTTTTTATTTTAGTTTACAGCTGTCAAATTTTGACATTAAACAAATTAACTGTAAATATAAATGTCTAAAAATTTACTTATTTTCTAAACTAAAATAAAATCTTCTGTCCTTTTCATACTGATGATGAAAAAGACAGACGCTTTGAACAAAATCAGTTTAGTTTGCGTTTGAGCGAACGACATATATCCATGTCAATGTTAACAAACAAAAATGCATTGCTATGAAAATGCAATTTATTTAAATACGCGAGTACTTAGTCAACGTTACGAGTTAAAAAAAAACGAATATGAACAGGTCATGTTTTTACCTCAATTCTTATTAAAATTGAACGCAGAAGAGAGGTGTATTTACAAAACAAATGCGGTTCTTTTTTATTGTGACATATCTTTCCCGCCTAATAAAGGCAACGAAATCTTAGGGCACGTTCAAATTAGAAGCTGCTAGAAGAGCTGCAGCCGCACCGCGGCCGCGCGACCAAATTTTCCCATGCCCTTTTTTAATCCAGTCGATTGGAATAACTGGCAGAACTGCTATCCTATATTGCAGGGTGTTGTTTTACATTCTCTATAAATGCTTCAATTCAATTTTCATAAATCGTGGTTAATTTAAAAAATCAATTATACACCTCACTAACCGTGACGGCAACCGAGCGCGACTGTCGCGCGGTCGCCACGCGGTTACAGCGCTTCTAGGAAATGTATGAAAAGTGACAGTCTCGCGGTGCACTGCGCGGTGCAGCCCTGTAGTCGCCGCGCGGCTGCAATGCGTCTAAAAGCGGCTAATTTGAACGTGCCCATATTGACTGTTTAAACACAGTCTTCATTTCCCTTTAGAGACGAACAATGAACCTTACAATAAAAATGAATCATATTCACCATTTCTTAAAATCCTCATACATTTATTAAAACCGTTTTCCTATTCTCATCGTAATCGGGTAAAACGGCCAAAATATCTTTTCATAATGGGGTTTACACATGTAATGTAAAATGTAATATAATAAAATAACATTTTAAATACAATGCTTTCTTTTAATACCGAATGTTGGTATCAGTCGCAAACAACAAATAGAAAGTTGTAGAAAAATTATCTAAATGCAAAGCAATGCCCACAATTTTGCAAAGTCTATTTATTTAAAGACAGATTTTTTCATTTCACAATCAGATAGAAAATATTAATAGGCTTTACAGACGACACGATTTTGGAGACCTAATGACGAAATATAAAAATTAATGAAAACTCGTTTAGTTATATAGGCGGTCATGAAAATCAGGTCGTTTGTAAAGACTTTTAAACATGATATTTTGAGAAATAATTTACCAAATTGTTATTAAAATCACAACATTTAAGGATATTTTTTCATTTCATTGCGATTGCATAAATTAAAAAACAATTCTGGACAAAAACCCGTACGCTAAAAAGGTGATTACGTCAAAAGAAACGGGGATGATTTATTCATAAAATATCAGAAATAAACTAACTAAACTTA